TAACAGTGTCATGAGAGAACTTAGTGAGAATGAAAGAACCTCAAGCAGTATTAGAAGCAAAAAGAAGAGCAGAAAGACAAGTAACAAAAATAAGAATAGGTTCTGTTATTAAAGAAATAATACAAAGCTGTATAGACGGAGTAGAAGCAGTAGCGGAGCTAATAGCAATTTTAGAGGACATTATAAAGTACAAAACATTTGAAGCATATACCAATGGCTTACTACTAGAACTGCAAGAAACAGCAAGTAAAACCAAGATGAAAGTAGGGTGGATCCTACAAATGCAAGAAGAAAGATCATTAAAGAAGGTAGCAGATTTTAATTGCAATATAATAGGCTGGTTCTCATCAACAAGGGCAGAGCTAGGTGCAATCTTAACTGTGCTTTTAGTCTTATTAGAAAGAACATCTATAAAGATATATATAGACAGCCAAGCAGCAATTCAAGCAGTTCAAAGAATGCGAAAATAAAAAAAATATGCAGCTATCTCAAAATGAAAAACAGAAGTATTTTAAACAAATAGAATATATAAAAAAAAGAAAGCAATTAAAGTTTGAACTGCACAAGGTGAAAAGACACAGTAAAATAGAAGGAAACAAAGAGACAAATAAATTAGCAAAAGAAGATGCAAGATCGAACAAGATTATCAAAGTACAGCTACTATAGACCAAGCTAATACATGTGGTACTTAGGTGGAAAGTGTTAATAGTAGATAAGCCTATCAGAAGTTTTGTAAATTAGATCACAACAGTGATTCTAGATGCAGAATGGGCAGGATTAAGTAGAATAAAAAGATGGGTAGGGGAGGAAAAAGATGATAGTTTAGATTAGAAAGAAATATGGAAATATATAGAAGGAGTAAAGGGTAACAATTGTTTAGATAGTAAAACAAATGATAAATAGATATTTAGGGTAAAATGTTTAAATAAAGTACTGTTAACAATGACAGAGCTCAAGTCAAGAAGGCCTGACCTATACAAGACCAACAAGTGCGTTATTTGCCAAGAAAAACCAAAAACAATAGACCATTTAACAAGCTGTAAAGACTATCAAGGCATATAGAGCATAATAGAAGAAGAAATATGCGACAAAATAGAAAAAATCATAAAGAAAAAAGAACTCACTGAAAGAATACCAACTAGAGCTATAATTAAAGAAAATATTTTTAGCACATTTAACACAGAACGGATAGAAGCAAGAAGTCATATGATTAGAGGTCTAATTAAGAAAAAGCAAAAGCAAAGATTAGTGAATATACTCTAAAGCGAAAAAGTAGCTAGCAAGATAATAAGTGTAGCACTTAACAAGTTAGATGAGAAATTTCATCAGCATATCTGAAACTTTAGATATGAGCTACAAATAGAGTGAAAAAAAAGAGAAGGAATCTCGAAGAAAGATAAGAAGATGAAAAAGGTCAACAAGAAAAAGAAGAAAAGGAAAAAAGAAAATAAAGAAAATAAAGAAAATTAAGTACAAACAGGAGAGCAGAAAAACAAAAAAAAAGATCACACAAGAGCAGTAGTATTTAAAAACATAGAAAACCTAGTGTAGATAGTAGAAAATCAGATTGGTCATTATAGGTAAGATATAAAGTTAAAACAGACTTAAATGATAGTACTGACAAGCAAATAGTCACTAGCCTGTAACTGAAGGGATCAAATCCTTAGTGAGTTAAGGATCCAGAAGGAAGCCAAGGACTACTGAGGCAGGTTACACCTGAGCATAAACCAAGGGTAAGTTTCTAGTTTAATTAGATTAGCAATAGCTACAGATAGATATATATAATTCTTGAATAGCTTAATCTTAAATAAACAGAGACAGAATTGCTGAATTAAAAAAAAATAATATAAGATAACAATAAACTAAATAATAATACTAAAATTTCTAAAATTAATAATATAATTAAATAATTATTAATATATTATTTTAGAAGATCCTGAAGCACCACATGCTTGCTCTGTATTTTGGTATATTAAATGAACTAATAAGTTAAATATTAAAACAAATATAGATCTCTTTTAGTATAGGTGGGCATATATAAATTTTACAAGATTATAATATATAAAACCTAACTAATTTGAGCTAATTTAAATTTCAACCTTAATCCTAACTCTAATAATTTATAAAATCATTTAAATTAATTTAAAAAAGTTAATTTATATATATTATAATTATATAATAATTATATATGCTCACCTATACTAAAGATTAACACAAATATTGCTTTAAATAGAATTTTGTAAAAAGTGTACTAATAAAATATGTAGTAAACTATTGTATAAACATCTAAAATAAATAAAATATACTATAAACTATATAAATAAACTAATAAATGATAAAATATATAATAATAATATAAAATATATAATTAGACATAATAAATTCTTTTTAACGATCACTTATACCAAACTTATAGCTAATGAAAACAGAAACTTGTTGAAGAAAAGTAGAAGAGACAACTATAAATAATAGTTTTTACAAAGATTAAGATTTTCTTTAATCTCCCAGACTCCTCTGTATATTCAGTATAAAAGTTAAAGTGTTTTTGTATAAGATAACTGGCAAGAAGGTGGTGCTATTGTACAAAAAATTTTAATAGAAGCTCTGCTTCTGCTGACAAAATTAAAGATATTTAGTCTAAGGAGAACAACAAGTGAGTTTTTAATATATTTCTTATCAAAGTTTAAGGCTACTTGTAAATTGAAACCCTTACTAAAGTTTAAGACTACATTTAAACTGAAACTCTTTTCTATACTCCACTTTCTTGGTCTTTACGAAATTTCTCCAAAAAGTGAGAAAAACAGCATACTCTTATCAAAAGATCGATAACAACAATCACTGCTAAAAAAGAAAATATATATGTGTATATGTATGCTTTAGGTTATAGTATAAGATATTTTTTCTTCAAGAAGTTGCAGTAATTATACTGAAAGTGTTTGATTTATCGACGTAGGTCAATAGACAATAGCTTATTAACTTTGTTTAGGAAGATACAGGTTAAAACACTGCAGAAGGTTTGCTGACAGGTTTGGGATAGTATACAGAAGTTTCAATGCTTGAAGCTCTACTTCAAGATCAGATAATTTTTAATATTTTTACATTCTAGATATAGATATAAATGACTAGTGTAGAGTTTAATCTAGTTTATTTGTAGCACTATATAATTTTTACAATTCAATATGGGTTTAATAGTGCTATATTTCTTTCTTTTCTTTTGTTTTTTTCTTTTTGTTATTTGTTTTATTTGATTTTATTGGTTTAGGTGAACCAGAACTCAATGCTGTAATATTTCCCTATTTTTATTATGCCCTTTGTATTTATATTTGTACTACATTTTGTAAAAAGGAAGCTAACTTTAATATGATATGTAGCATCAGCCTATGACTAAAGGATAACCTTTAGTAAGTTAGAGGTCCAGAAAAAGGTTTGAAATCCACTAAGGCAAGTCATATCTGACGAAAATGTGAGTATATCACTTTATGGGTAGATTAGTATAGCTCATATTAGAGAATGTAAATTTCTTAATATAGTTCAATCTGCAAATAAAAAGTAGCAGGACTGCCGAATTATAAAAAATATAAAATATATAATAAAATTTAAGAAATATATAAAAAAAATGTTAATAAAAAATGTATCTATATTACAATATATAAAAAATTAATAAAAAAGATTAAAATTTTATATTTTTAAATTGTTTAAACAAATTTATTTAAAATATAAATTAAAAAATATAATATATTAGCTAATTCTATATTTTATAGTATACTGTAGTAAATTTAAATAAATTTTAATTATATACTATATATTAAAATTTTAACTTATAAATATAACTTATAAATACTGTATATCTTATAAATATAACTTATAAATATAATATGTAATTTACAACAAACCTTATTTTAATATAAACTAGAAATATTAAAATTTTTAAAAGCTTTCTTGATACGTATGTATATACGTATACTGTATAAATAGTATATTAACGGACGTACAATTTTTTTAGTAACAAACTATACGTGTATACGTATCGGTGGGGTATCCAATGTACTATGTAGATCAAATATATGTATAGTCCCATATAAAAATTAATAGTAGATTTTTTTTTTTATCGGTACGTATTAACAATTACATTCACTGGTCATGTGTCTAATAATTAGCCAATAAGCAGACACACACACATTTAGTGATTAGATGATCTTTATTTGATTTATTTTTTATTTCTTTTTTTTAGATAAACGAAGATATAGATTTATTACTATTCGAAAAAAAATGCCATTAATTTTGACACAAATCAAAAAATACTTTTGTTGCGACTTCTTTCCCAAATATTTTTTGCTCGCTTTCTGAAATTATGGGTAACTGTTTTTGACGTTTTGCACGAGTCTCTTTGAGTCTCAAAGTAATATTTTCTAGGTCTATATCTCCGGACGACAACTGCAATTTTGACTGCTCATAGTAGGTGTCATATTCGGGTGGGTCTTTAGATCTAACTTATTAAAGAGTCCTTCCACTTGCTGTTGGTGGACTATTATAAAGTAAATTCGCTCTTTAACAAAACCATATAGCAAAGGATATTCATTAACATTAGAATTAGGGTTCAAACAAAATTTTAGAAACTCATTTTTAAATTCTAGATTATTTTGTAGTTCTTCCCGAAGACCGAACGTATTATTGGATATTTCCAAATCATTACTCAATTGTTCTGCAAATTCTATTTCACATTCGCTTGGTACTGAAAGCCACGGGGTTCGTAAAGCAATATGATAAAAAGCCCGCGCAAATTCATGACTAGAATTTCCACCTAACCGGCATACTGACAACGGTAAATGTAACCACGGGGACATCCATTTTACAAAACTTTCATACGCTTTGTTTATTCCCCGTTCCAAATTGTCAAAGAGCTCACTAAATTCTTCATTATTTAGTGATTCAAGTGCCGTTAATAGTTCTTGTCCGAAGAATGTGTCAAAATTTTCACAGAGTTCATGTAAAAATTTTATCTATTCATTCACTTTGTCCGGCATTTCGTGAGCACGTCGGCCAGGTAAAAGTTGAACCAAACGGTTTTCTACTTGAATACGGGGTATAGGATCTTTTCCGACCATAAATTGCATCAATGGCTCATATAAGTGCTCGCCGAAAGTAACTAAGCACTTAACTTGAATATTTAATTTTTCGTTTAGGAGCCAATCCCGAAATAAACGCCTAGTAAGTATAAGAAAATTTATTAATCGATATATTTAAAATAAGCACTTAAATTTATAAATATTAATTAAATATACCAATCTGAAAGATATGTAGCTGGCGTATTCTGATTATTCTCAAGTTCCTGAATGAACCAGTTCGTAAATTCTATATGTGCTTCGCGCCGGGCTAAATATTGCTTTGCAGCAAGTAATTCATATCCCCAACGACCCCGAATTGGCAATTGGTATTGAGAGAAATGATACCCTAATAATCCGTCATATAATTTTTGAATCCAACTTGATTTCATATTGAGAGGTTTTCCTTTATTGCTTGAGTCATATCCGTCGTGGAGATACCAAGCTAAATATAGAAGGTTATACGGTTGTGGTGTCCAGGAAAATCCTATTGAAGAGGGTGACTTGCCAAATGCTGTCTCTTCAAAGTTCGAAAAAACAATATGCATTATATGCATTCCGCAACCGATTCTTACTGTATCTACATTTGCTTTCTTATTAAATTGGACAATCGCGCCTTTTTTATTACCTGACATATAGGCCGTATTGTCCGTTACCCATGTTAAACATTTTTTAGGATCAAGCCCGTGATTCGTAATTGCTTTGAGAGTACTTTCTGCTACCGATCGGCCAGTGCAATTATTTAAATCCTCAAGATTGGTCACAGTAACTGATGGTATGTTTTTTTTATAATCCCAAAACATTATGCATACTACGAAATATTTAAATTCTCCACGAGTTGATTCATCGACGAGGATTCCATAGCATGAACATTGTGTGGCCTTATGTATTCCAGCTTCAGTTTCAATTTGTGAAACTTCTTTATGCCAAGTACTTAGGGTCGTCACGGATAACCATCTTTGTGGGGGCTCTCCGGTTAAGAATTCATAGACTAGACGTAACGATTCAGCTGTCGCGGTTAAAGAAGTTTGCCCAATTTGCGAAATCTTGGTCGAAAGCCAGACCATTTGGGGCGAGTATTCACGATTATTTGTTTTAAATAACAGATTAATTTGACGCTTAAATTCATTAGGGGGAATTTGCTTCGATTTTCTTATTAATGATCGAATAGTTGAAATTCGATTTTTAATTTTGTTTTGAAGAAGTCTGTTTGAACTACCTGATAGGGTAAAAACATTATTGCGCATGAACAAAACTTATGAAACGTATGTAAGAATGTAATTTTCAATATTACCCTACCTATTGACTGGATTTTGTGTATTAGTTTTTTATTATTTCGCATTAACCTTCTATTTACTGACTTTAACTCGATATTTTCAGCCTTTAATTTTTTAGCTTGATTTTTTGGATGCTCTGTAATAAATTCAAGAGCCTTTTTTTGGAGGTAAGGCGAAATGATTTCGTTAGCATGTTTGCCTCTTGGATTTCGCATTGTATCAAAAAGCCTTAACGCGTTTGCTTTTTGTGGTTCTGGCATTTCACGAATTGATTGAAACATTTCTTCTTCTCGAGTGTCATTTGTAATACTGGTAAGAATTTTATGAATTTTTGGGAGATATTCGTGATCAAATTTGGTAATTATATTAAAAATTTTGTGTGTCAACATCTGTTGATTTAAGTTTTGTAAATGGCGCTTTTGCTTTGGTAATTTTGGCATTGCAAATTTTAGTTTCGAATTGATGAAATTTAGATATAGATATTTAAATGGAACGATATATTTACTAACTTTACAGTGAATCGCAAAAAAACGAGCGTTATTTATTACATTTTAGCAAACAATTTCGTGCAGGCAGATTTTAATTATTAAAGTACACATAATGGCTTTATTTAATAAAATCATTACTGATCATCATACAAAGCATTCTTAAATATATCAATAAAAATCAAACAAAAAAACAAACTTCTGTCCTAAAGATACATTGTTCTGAATTCGCGAGTACTAATTCAATAAAACAAACAGCTATGACCTTTCTTGGAGTGTTTAGGCTTATACATTTTCGGTAATCTTTCATAGTCTGAACAATGAAAAATCTCCAAAAATGTATAAGTTTAGTTACTCTTTCCTATGGTCCATCAAATCTATACTAAAATTAAATAGCGGCATGCAAATCAAACAGTACCTTACCACTATTTGGTTTGGCAAAATATTTTGTTTTTGTCTGAAAATCATTAAATCGAACGACCTATGCGACAGGAAACAAAAGACTCATAACTAATAAGAGTTACAAATATCATTTAGAAAATAAGATTTTGCTACGGTTTTTTGATTGTTCATATTATTTTATTTAGCCCCACTTTATTCCCTAATATGATTAGCTTCCAGACAGGTCATTACAGGCATTTTCATGATACTGTCCCGACCGGTTACCAATCATAAACCCGAAATTTTCAATTTGATGACTTGCCTTACACTTTGTGACTGTCGTCCAGAGAAAGAATAAAGTCATTTTTCTCATTATTATCTCACAATTACCAACTTACTATCATCGATTACTCAAATTGCGACTGTTATCCCGGAAGGTCTCATACTTTACTCAAATTGTCATTCTTTACCTAACTATTATGAGTTTACTGTTTAATATTAACTTTACATACATTAAGAAGTTATGTAGATGACAGGTCAGCTTTTACTTAAATATCGGTATCATCCTTTATGGCACTGTCGTTACAGTAATAAATTATTATAGTTTCGTGTAACCACGTGAAATTATTAAAGATATCTGGTAAATTAAATAAATTTTTAATAAAGTAAATGTTTT